GCACAGTTTTTGTACCTGCTAATGGCTGGTTGAGCGCCTTGGCCCTTTGTGCCTTGTTGCCCTGGCAGAGACGGCGCGTCCCTGCTCCCCGCACCGAGTGACGTCTTGAATTCTGAGCTGAAGGCGCGTTTCATGGGCGGGGGACTGGCAGGGGCGGAGGTGTGCTGTGTGAATGTCAGTTCCTTCCTCGAGGTTTGAAGGTCTTTAGGGGGGAGGCTGATGACTTTCTCAAGGCTGAAACACAGAGAAAGCCCTTGGGACTTTTTCAGAGACTTCCAACAGGAGTTTCCGAAACCCATTTGCTGCTGTTCACTGATTCAAAACTATAGCAGAAAATGTTTTCAGAGCTCAGCATAGCGTCTGCGAGAACTTGAGCATAGATCGGCTCTCAATAAATATTTGTGGAGTGTTGTTGGCTGCAGGAAACACACACGTCACCCGCCCCCATCCCCACCTGTGGAGGCGGCTCCAGTTGGCTGCTGAGTTCCCTGGAATGTGCTGACCTTCCTTCCTGGGCAGAGGACACCACAGGAGACTGTTATTATTAGTAGGGCAGCTTTGGCGCAGATCTGTCATCACCCCCTCACTCCGGGTCTTTACTGAGCAAAGACAAGCTCCAGAACTTGTGGTAGTCAACACGGCTGACCACCCTCTGCTTGGCATTGTTTCTTTGGCTGCTGTGACCCCATACTTGCCTGGTTGGTGTCTCCTCTCCGGCCATTTACTCAGTTTTCTCTGTTGGTCCTTCCTTTTGAGCTTTACGTGGTTGATTCCTCAGAGCTCAGTCCCAGACCTTTTCTCTCTTCTTTCTTCTCTCTTCTGGTCTTTTTTATTTTCCTTCAAATCTAAAGGAAGGAAATGACATTCACACCTATTTAGCAGAAAACCCTGAATTTACATGTTGAGTTCATACTTCTCTTCTAAACACATATATTTGACTCCACCTGACATTTCCACCAGGAGCCTCACAGACTTCCCAATTCAACAGAGTGAATCCTGCCCCCTCCCTTCGGCCCCTGGATGAGTACTGTGGTCTCCTCATCGGAGCACGTTTTGCTGCGGCCCACCTAACGTCTTAGGACCAAAAGTGGAGAATATTTCTCGCCATCTCTCTTTTCCTACTCTCCTGAAGTTCAGGCAACGGTTAAGTCCTGTCATTTTATCATGACTTTTCTCAAATCCCCACCTTAGTTTAATCATCCCATCTCTCTCCAGTAGCTGCATCAGCCTCCAAACTAGTCCCCCGGCAACAATTCTTGCATCTCTCCATTCCCCGCCTCTATTCCCGGCCTCCTTCATTCCCATTCTCTCCTTAGCAGTTCCTTCCTCCCTCCCTCCCTCTCCCTCCCTCCCTCCCTTCCTCCTCCTTCCTTCCTTATTCCTTCCTTCCTTCCTTCCTTCCTTCCTTCCTTCCTTCCTTCCTTCCTTCCTTCCTTCCTTCCTTCCTTCTTCCTTCCTTCCTTCCTTCCTTCCTCCTCCTTCCTTCCTTATTCCTTCCTTCCTTCCTTCCTTCCTTCCTTCCTTCCTTCCTTCCTTCCTTCCTTCCTTCCTTCCTTCCTCCTCCTTCCTCCCTCCCTCCCTCCCTCCCTCCCTCCCCTCCCCTCCCCTCCCCTCCCCTCCCCTCCCCTCCCCTCCCCTTCCCTCCCCTTCCCTTCCCTTCCCTTCCCTCTCCTTCCTTCCTTCCTTCCCTCCTTCCTTCCCTCCTTCCTCCCTCCCCCTCCCTCCCTCCCTTCCTTTCTTCTGGATTTTAATTTTTCTTTATGTTTTCTTTATATAAAAAGATCTTTTCAACTTTTTATTTTGAAATAATTATGGCATCATAGAAAGTTATTAAATGTACTACAGAGAGGTCACATGCACCCCTTGACCAGTTTCCTGCACTGGTAACATCTTACGTAATTATAGTTCGGTATCAAAACCAGTCCATTGACATCGCTGAAATTAAAGACCTTATTCATATTTTATTGTATTTATATGTGCGCGCCCTGGCCGTTTTGGCTCAGTGGTTAGAGCGTCGGCCTGCGGTCCAGAGAGACCTGGGTTCAGTTCCCGCTAAGGGCATGTACCTCGGTTGCAGTTTGTCCCTAGGCCTGGTTGGGTCATGCGGGAGGCAGCCACTCGATGTGTCCCTTTCACATCGATGCTTCTCTCTCTCTCTCTTCCTCTCTCTCCCTCCCGCTCTATCTGAATAAAAAATAGAAAAATGTCCTCGGGTGAGGATTAAAAAAAAAAAAAAAAAAAGATTGTATTTATATGTGGGCACACACTGTGTACCTCTCTGGGTATATGTATAATTCTGTGCAATTTTACCATGTGGGTAACCACCACCACAACCAAGATTCAGAGCCGCTTCATCACCCCAAAGATCTCACGCTAAAGTATGTTCCTGTAAAACACGACGTGATCCAGTCCCTGCCCTGCTTAAAACTCTTTAATGACTTTAAAGCCCAACCCTTAAGTAAGGGCTACAGGTGCCTGTGCAATCTGGCTCCCACGGCACTGCCAGCGCCTCCTGCCTGCCGCCCGCCGCCCGCCAAGCCTCTGCTCACCCGCCTTTCTTGTCCTTGTAACTGGCCAAGCTCCTCCGGGCTCTGAGCCTCCAGAGCGCCCTCTCCTCACGTGGAACTCTGTCACCCGCAGCCAGCTCCTCTCGGGAAGCGTGGCCGTGGCACCTCGGATGAGGGTGGGCTCTTCTATGGTGTCTTTCCATTGCCAGTTACGACTTTCCTTCATGGCACCGATCACGCAGTTGTAAATAAATAGATATGTGCGTGGCTCATTGATTTGAGTTCTCTCTAAGCAGAGGTGTCGGGGTGTCTTGCTCACCACTGTATCTTTTCTGTCCAGTGCATGGCTGGCCTAGCAGCTGCTCAGAGATACTCATACGTGAACAAGGTCATGAATAATTACAGTAAGCTGGCTGGTTGTGGCTGGGGTGTGGCCTGAGGCCACGGAACTGGGCAGAGTCAACTTGCTTTTATGGTATCTGCTCCTATGAACTCATCTGCAACCTTCCCAAGGGTGCCCTGTCTGGGAACCTGGGCATTTATGGCCCATGCCGCTCAGAACCTCTAACAGGCATTTTCTCTCCTGTTCTAATCCCAGTATTTTCTCTGAGAACTTGGTATAGGGAACAGCCCTGGCCAGTGTTCTTAGACAGATCTTTGAGGTGCTTTCAAGAACATCAGCTGGATATTCCTCCAGGCTTTTAATACCAGGCTTCTTTCTCTTCGGGGTCACTGCCGAGGTGCCACTTTGAGAGGGTTATTAGTCCAGAGCTGTGGGAGTCTCTAAGTTGGATGTCACCTGAGAAGCCCTTGTAAAGCTTTTAGATCAGCTCTCTCCTCGATACTTCTTCCTGCTCTTCGCTAAGTGGCCCCTCTCCCCCATCGCGTCTTCTCCATCCCCGCTCTTACTCTCTCGGAGGCAGCAGTGCGGCTTGTATTTGTGGAGCCCCAAGTTTGAAGGGACAGTATGTCCCCCAAATTTTTGTGATGTAACTAGCTCTCCGAGGACTTGGAAAGCAGGAAATGGGGCCTCCTGCTGGGATGTGGCTTTGCCAAGGGGTGGTGGCACCCCATGGGGTCCTGACCATCTGTGGAGGGCACTGGGTTGGTGAAACTGACTCTAATTAGTACTATTCCCTCCCCCCACCCCCGGTCTCTAGTGTCCTTCTTTAGAAGTACGCAATCCCTCATGCGAAAGAGGCAACACAGTGCACTGTATGGTGGGTTTGGCAGAGTTGGGAGCTCTGGGGAAGGGTGAACCCCCAGCAGCAGGCAAAGCTGTCAATTCTTTTTTAAAAATATGTTTTTATTGATTTTAGAGAGAGAGGGAGAGGGAGACATAGAAACATTGGTTGGCTGCCTCCTACACGCCCCCCACTAGGATCGAGCCCGCCACCTGGGCATATGCCCTGACCGGGAATCGAACTGGTGACCTCTCAGCGCACAGGACAATGCTCAACCAACGGAGCCACACCAGCCAGCGCAAAGCTGTCAGTTCTTTTGTGACAGAGTCAGTAACGCTTTGCCCTGGGTGCACTGGGCAGATTGACAGCACTGGGAAGCCTGAGATCATCATCCAAGTTTCCTCTCCCTGCCAAATAGGTCACAGGTCTTCACGTTCTGTGGCTCAGAGCTGTCCTCTCACTGCCGGAGCCTCTCTTTGGGGTGAGCTATGGCTGAGGACAGAGTCCAGCTCTGCAGGCCAAGCCTCAGTATTGGTCCACTGGGGCTGCGGGCTCCAAGGTTAAAGCTTAATGTCCCTCCCATCCTGCTGTTGGCTTGGCTAATGCGATACTTGGGATGGAGGAAAGAGTTAGAGCCAGCGGCCTGTCCTTGTAGGATAGACCTGGCCACTGTGTACCCCTTGCTGAGGTGCTGCACTGCTTGGCCCTCCCCGGCCACTTCCCCCGCCGCCCCTGGTACCCGCAGGGCGTGGACTCCTGCTGAGCTCTGGGGCGGGCACTGGTGTTTGGATGACAGTGCAGAGCCTCACAGAGCCCCTGAGCTCTGTCCGGGAATCCTCCCTGCTCCTCCCCTGGGCCCTGAGGCAGTGCGGACAGCCCTGTCGATCAGAAGGCTGGGTTCCAAATGGCTTTTGTGTGTGGCTCCTGCCGCAGTTGATGCTGGGGCTGGGAGATCATGCTGGTGACTCCCGGTGCTGCTTGGGCCACGTGCTGTGCAGTGTCCTTTCTGTTGCTCTCGGTCCCTTTCTGTCCTCATGACTGGCTACGCGTCTAGGGGCAAGAGGATGTGCATGGCATCCATCCCTGGCGAAAGGTTAATGCCCATCTCTCTCTTAGGCCTTGATCTGATGTAACTGGGTGGTGGGGAGTGTGGGTAGGGCCCCATCTGGGTTCCTAGTTTGTTTCCCAACACATGTTACCTACCACACCTTCCCTCCAAGTTGGGCATCAATGTGTTTTCAGTTAGTGGGGTTGAGGGGTGACAAGGGAGACCCTCTGGCTTTAATGCTGCCATTTCCACTTCCTCTAGGTCACCCAACCTGCCTGCAGTTCACCCTGAACATGACCGAGGCCGTCAAGACCTACAAGTGGCAGTGCATAGAGTGCAAATCCTGCATCCTCTGTGGGACCTCGGAGAATGATGTGAGTCTGGGGCTTCCCCGAGAGGTGGAGGTCCACGGAGCGGGAGTCCTTTGAGGGGTGGGAAGGAAAGCCAGGCTCTCGTAATTGGGATACTGGAGAAAGTGTCCGTCGGGACCTTTTCCTTTGACCCCGGGACACTTGAGACCCCTGTTACCACAGACCTCGGCTACCCTCAAGAATAGATTATATAAAAAAGGCAGGACAAATACTTGATTCTTTCCCTTTATTTATTAGTTTTCAGAATAGCAGGGTGGTTTCAACACACATTGATGATTAAAACACTCAAGAAAATAGAAATTGTGGTACTTTTTTAACATGATAAACTTTTAATTCCTTAGAATCAAAGCCATTATCTTATTTATAGGGGAACATTGGAGGCATTTCTACTAAGATCAGGAACCGGATAAGGATGCCCACTATCTCTACGACTTTCATCATTATCTTAGAGATATTAGATAATACAGTTAGACAAGAGAAATCAACTAGGAGCTTAAGATGGTAACAAAGTAGTAAAACTCCACTTCTTTTTTTAGTTAAACTCGATTTCATAAACTATTATATCTGAAAAACCCAAGAGAATCAATGATAAGACTAACTCAAACATTAAGAGTAACAGGATATAAAATTACCATACAGAAATTAATAGCCTTCAAATGCACAAATAATAAAGTTAGAGGACATAATGATAAACTCTACTTACAATAGCAACAAAGAAATACTTAGAAATAAGCTTAATAGTAAGTGTGTAAAACTTATATAAAAAAAATTAAAACACCTTTGAAAAGATACAGAAGTAGTCTTGAGCAAATGGAAAAACATTATGTGATCTTGGATAGCATGAGTCAACATTATAAAGATGTCAGTTCTTCCTAAGTTAATTTACAAATTTAAATCAAGCCCAATAAAAACACTAAGTTTTTTTTATGCAACTAGAAAAGTTGATACTAAAGTTTATATGGAAAAACAAGCATGCAAGAATAGCCAGGAAAACACAGAAAAACAATAACTTTTGAGGGGAGACTAGCCCTACGAGATGTTAAAAATACTATAAAGCCTCTATAATTAATACAATACAGACAAATAGACCAGTGGAATAGAATAGAAAACACGTAAATTGACCCAACTACATATGGACATTTAGTATAGGATAAAGGTTGCGTCTAAAATTACTGGACCAAAGATGGACATTTTCATGAATGGTGCTGGGACAATAGGATAACCATGTGGGGAAAGGTAAGATTAGGTCCACATGATGCATAAGAACAATCTCCAAATGGACTGGGGTCTACATATAAAAAAAAGACCATGCCCTGGCCGGTGTGGCTAAGAAGTGGTTAGAGTGTCGGCCCTCACACCGAAGGGTTGCGAGTTCGATTCCCTGTCAAGGGTACATGCCTGGGTTGCAGATTTGTTCCCCGGTCCTGGTCAGGGCATGTGCGGGAGGCAACCAATCGATGTGTCTCTATCACATCAATGTTTCTCTCTCTTTTCCCTTTCCTCCCTCCTTCCCTTCCACAGACTATAAAAATCAGTGGAGGAAATGTCCTTAGGTGAGGATTAACCAAAATAAATAAATAAATAAATAAATAAATAAATAAATAAACCCATATTAGTACTAGAAGAAAAGAGATGAATTTATTTTTAATCTAAACATAAGGAAAGATTTTTGTGACTCAAAGTTCAGAAATAATAAGAGAGAATGTTGAAAAATGAAAAATTTGACCATATAAAATCTGCATAGTAAAAAACATAATAAATTGAAAGGACACCTGGCAGATTGGGAGAAAATATTGGTGGCATATGCTATACAAAAAGGGCTAATGTTCCTAATATATAAAGAACTCTTAAAATTTGAGTGACAAGGGACCAGAAACCTGACAGAGATTGGAAAAAAGACATGGAAAACAATTCACGAAAGATATACAAATGTCTCCACAAATTTAAAAAAAAAAAGTTCAAATGTGCTTATAAAGAAATTCAAATGAAAGCAAAATGGAGATTCCATTTCTTTCCGATAAAATGAAAATAATTAAAAAGTATTACAGCCCAGCCGGTGTGGCTGAGTTGTTGAGCGTCGACCCATGTACTAAGAGGTTGCCGGTTTGATTCCCGGTCAGGACACATGCCCAGTTTGTGGGCCAAATCCCCAGTGGGGGGCATGCAGGAGGCGGCCAATCGATGTTCTCTCTCATTGATGTTTCTATCTCTCCCTCTCCCTTCCTCTCTCTAAAATCAATAAAGAAAAAATATTTTAAGAAGTATTACAGTACTTCTGTTGACAACACTGTAGGAAAGCTGGCACCTTCATCATTGTCAGTGGAAATACAAAGTGGTACAACCCTTCTGGAGGAAAATTGAACGATACCCAGCACAACTACTACACACTTACCTATTGACTTAGCAATTTCCCCTATAGAAATCTACCCTAAAGATACACCCACAGCACTATGAAAATATATATGCATAAGGTTGCATTGTTTATACTTAAAAATATTGGAAACAACCTAAATTCTCATATGTAGAATGTTTGACTAATGATGGTACAGCCCCACAATGGAGTACTATGCAGGTGTTAAAACAACAACAACAACAACAACGAGGCAGATGTTTATGAATCAATATGGAGCAATTTCCAGGATAAATTGTTAAATTAAAAAAGCAAAGTAAAGATATATCTATAATATGCTGCCATTCTTGTACGAAAGGCATGAGAAATTATACATGTATCTGTTCACTGTGTGAAAGAAATACAGAAAGGATAAAGAAGAAGTTAAAGGGATTGATTATCTACAAGAATGAATGAGAGGGGGGGTCGAAAGAATGGGGAATGGTGGTGGGATAGTATGGATAAAGAGGGTGACACTTCTCTGAGAATACCTTTTTGTATAGCTCTGAGTGTTAGAACCAGGGTGTTGTTTCACATACACTACGACAGATAAATACTGAAAACAGCCAGAATGTGGGGGGAACCGAAAATAGAATGTGAACTGTAACATTCCATTAACTGTAAAGTAAATAAATAACACAACCATACCGCAGGGTGGGGTAGGAAAGAACTAACTTAAGTAACTTTGGAAAGTAATATTTGTGTATCACAGCTAAAGAAAGAATATACAAATTTTGTACTCTAGCGAGTAAATTTGTTTCTCACAGGCAAGTGCATTAGTAGTTTCATTTTGAAACTACTTTACATGTATACAGGTCTGAGCTACTAACTATGCATTGTAAATAATGAGAGTCTGGTTTCTCAATGTCAGAGAAAAAATATTCAGATAAAGGGTGAAGGCTAAACTGAACCCTGTGGTGTTGGGTTGGAAGAGAGGGTATTAGTAGGAATTTTTTACTTTTAATATAATATATTTTATATATATATGTTTACATATTTGTCTATAGCCCTGTGTATGTATGTACACATATGGATGGAAACAGAAATAAATATAGATGTGGCCTGGCTGGTTTGCTAAGTGGTTAGAGCATTGGCCCAAAGACCAAAAAGCTGTGGGTTTGGTTCTGGTTAAGGGCATGTACCTCGGTTGTGGTTTGATCCCTGGCCCTGGTTGGAGTCATGCAGGAGGCAACCAGTCGATGTGTCCCTCTCACATTGATGTTTCTCTCTCTCTCCCCCTCCTTCCCTCACCCCCACTCTATCTGAAAATCAATGGAAAAGTATCCTTGGGTGAGGATTAAAAAAAAAAAAAAAAAAAAAAAAATATATATATATATATATATATATATATATATATATATATATATATATATAATATGTGTGTGTGTGCATGTGTACCCACACATACATTTATTTATTTCCTAATTCTGTCAGCTGGGAGGGCCTAGAAGCAATGACAACCCTGAAACAATGAGGACCCATAGCACCCAGATAATGGTTTCTAAATACAATTGACCCTTGAACAATGCTGGGGTGGGGTGATGAGCCCCTGTGCAGTAAAAAATCTGTATAACTTTTGACTCCCCAACAACTTAACGACTAATAGCCTGTTGTTGACTGGAAGTCTTACCAATAACATAAAACAGTCAATTAACACATATTTTGTTTGTTACATGTATTATATACTGATCCCCAGCTCAGGGTTCCGTGCCAGGAAGAGAAGTCCTTGTAACTTCTGGCTGTAAAAACCAGTGGGGGGTGTGGCTGAATGAGATGAAGGCTGCCGAAGTCCCAGGCAATTCCTCTTAAAGGACCCATGCATGGACTTACTCAGACTCACTCCCTCTGAGCTCCAGTTCTGGGGCAGCAGCTTGAAAGGCTGGAGGGAACTGAATTGTCTGGCATCAGGGCGAGAGCTGGAGGGGCAGCTCTCTCACAGACAGAAGTGCTGGCAGAGTCCATTGTTCCCTTTCTGAGCCTCCCTTAAACAAAGCTGGTAGATGGGCACCGTATCTGAGTCTCCATCAACCTGGCTCACACTGTTTGCCCCACCTTGGTAATTCCCTGAGACCACACACCACCCAATTTGCAGTTTCCTGTGGCTTTAAATACAAATGGCTCATCTTGGCTCATGCTTCAGACTTTACTAAAATCTCTCAGACAAGCAGCATCTGGCCTCAGTGTGCCCCATACATCTCTCTAAGTGGCCCCAGGTCCGGCACTAGCAGCAGCCAGCCTGTGTTCACAGCTTGGCCTTGGTTCACACCTTGGTTCACAGCAAACCCAGCATAAGTAGCCACTTGCAGATTGCTCTGCAGCTTGTGTCAGGTGGCCCCAGGCAGGGCATAGACAGTGATTGACCTCACACCTCTGGAGAGGCCCTAGAACCAGTGCACCCGGTGATCAGCTTCAGACCACCCCGGATTACAACTCTGCCATCTCCACGAGTGACACACTCAAGGGGTGGACTTAGTGGGCACCAGAGCCCTGCTGAAGTAAGTTCTGTTCTGTGGGGTGGGTCCATACACAGCTGATTCTCCATAGAGATTGCAGTTAGTCCTTGCAGCCAATCTTCCTGGGGGCAAATCTCTCCCATTGCTGTGCCAACAGCAAT